CCAAAGGATGGGGAAGTTGCCAAAAAGTTGAAAGGGCCCCCTTGTTAGAAGGGGCGGAGGGTGAAAGCAGCCGGGGAAGGGGGSGCTTTCCGAGAGTTACTTAAACATTAACCAGCCCAACAATTGCCCTGTGTTTGTGCTGCCCATCACCGCGCTGGTCTTTCACCCCCGTGCCTGAAACTACATTTGGGTAGAGCGAGCCAAGGTGCCCCGGCTGTCAGCGCTGCCCGGACGCGTCCGGGCAAAGATCCCTCCAGCCTCGTGTTCTGCTCTGGACTCTGCTCCTCAGCAGCTGCTGATGCACAGGGTGTCTCCCCCTTGCTATGCCCCTTTCCCAACACTTATTTACCAATACACATCAAAAAGGTCCCATTAGCTATAGCTGGTGCCTGGCTCCACTTTCCCTGAGCCACCAGCATGAGGTGAGTGTGTCCTGAGGTKTCGGGATGGCTCGGAGGCACTGCTGTGGCTGGGAGCATATCCAGCTGATGGATGTGGTCGTGGTGGGACATGCTGAGCTCTTGCTGGCCCCAGAGRCACAGCCCCACACTGCACATGGCTCTGCAGCGGTGACGGGCACCTGTGCCAGCCCCTTCATCTCCCCAGGACTTTAGTCACGAACCGGCTGCGTAGCTGCCGGGAAGGCAACAGGGATGGGATTTGGGTTGTTTACGAAAGTTATCGATTAACTTCCTCATTGCAGTCATAACAGGCCGGAGCTTTTCAGAGAGTCACAGCCCATAAAGGTAAAGCCAGCGTGACATGTAGCTACTGGTTGCCCTGCACCTGGTGTTGCACGGGTGGCATCAGTTAGAGCCGGGCTCAGGCCGCAGAACYGAGGCCTTGGCCCAGCACACAGTGGGTAGGCAGGGCCTGCAGCAGCCTCACAGGGGCCCATGCAGCCTCTCGCTGCCGTGCCAGGGGCAATCCCATGCCGCCAGTATCTTGGGCACTGGGATCTGCACGTCGCAGCTCCACCAGTGTCATTTGTTAGCCTTGGGGGTGGGAAAAAACGCTAGAATCCCCCTTTAAGACCAGGAAAACTGAAGCCTGAAATGGACGAAGCGATGAAGGTGAGGCAATGTGCAGGGCACGTGGGTTCATTTCTGGTCCCCTCTYGGCCAGGTGCGACTCCTGAGGAGATTATGGCTCATAACTCACCTTCCTGCAGTATTTTAGCGCAGTTCCTGGAGCGGTGCTCTTGATCGTGAGTTTTCCGCCCTTCAACCTTGCTTCAGTATTTGAGGGAAGCAAATACRAGCGAAGACGAAATAAACAGATTGGTTTGTTAGAGCAAATATTCCCAGGCAAGGCTCTGGGTATTCGCTGGTGAGCGCGTAGTGCCGTCAGTAGCAATATACTTGGGCTGAAATGTCTCAATTTTGCTCTAGTAACACTGTGCTTGCAGTCTTTTAAAAGTAGTTTACAGGCTGTTTGAAGGAGGTTCCTCCTCACCTGACCCGAGTTTGAAGTGAAAGGAGCCTCTGCTCTGTGAGAAACTGCGTCTCCTTGCATTGCCCCTTGCTTCCAGGGTTCAGCTCTCTAAGAATCGCATTAACCAGGATGATCCATTTAAAGCAGGTACTTTCTTGGGAGCAAATCGCCTTTAAAATAAAGCAGATTTAGCTTAATGAAGCAAATGGGGGAAGGCTCTGTTTACTGGGGACACGGAGATGGGCCGAGTCTTCCTGGCAAGGCAGAGGGAGAAACACTAGGAAAAGGGCAGGGGGCTCTTGGGATGGAGAAGACAGTGCTCCTGTTGTGAAACTATGTGTGACCTGCCCTACGTGCCCTGAGCAGCTCCTCCTGGGATCCCCACACCCTCCTGTGGCCTCAGGGTCCCCTTTGAGCTTGGCCCTGGGCGCACGGTCCTGCGCTGTGGTCAAGGTGGGCCTCTCTCTAGCCCCATCCCCTGCTGCTCCTGGATGGATCCTGAACCAGGTCCATCCCTTTGCTCCCCACCCATCCCATTTCACCAGACCCCTCGCACTGTCAGGCAGCTCAGTGACAGCTCCAGGGTGCCCCAGGGTCAGTGAGCTCCTTGTGTAATGTTTTCCTGACAACTGGGCTTAAACACACAGCTGTGCYACTGAGAAAAGCAGTCTGCAGCTGGGAGGAGAGGCTCCAAGGAGGGTTTCCAGCCTCACACCCAAGGCACCAGGAGCTTTGCTCACAAGAAGACCTAGATGCTTCTGTTCTTTCTGCTCCCAGGCCGCTAGCTTTGACAATGGGGTCAACTGAAGACATCCCTGCTCAGGCCGCCCTGCTTACCAGGCTTGGACAACAGCTCTGCTTACAGGGGCATCACACACACAAAGCCAACCACTCTAGCGCTCTGTGGCCCAAACCTTTCTCTCGGTCCATCCGTCTGCTCAGAGCTGTCTCCTRTCCCATTAAACCAGCACCTGCTGCAGGAGCCGAGTGGTTCTGCCCCAAAAGACTTGGATTGGGTTTAGACCAAGCCTGAGCGCAGCTTGGCTCAGGCCACTTGCTGGAGCCTGATGGAACCACTTGCTACAGGGAGGAGGTTCTGGGAGCACAGGTGGCCCCCAACCCCTCACTTCCTCCCATACAGGGAGGACTGTGTGGTCCTCAGTGGCACAGCCCTCTGCTCAGAAGCCCCAGAGAAGTCCCGGCTGTGGGGCTGGACATCTCCTTGCTGTCCTCCACCTTGGCAAGGAGGCGAGGATAGTCAGAGATAGCTGAGGGTAYTGGTGCTGGAAGCATGAAGGGAAGCGATGATGGGAAGGAGCTTGGCTGGCATCGGCACCTCCTGACCACAGAGGAACATCAAGGAGAGGAACGTCAAGAAGAGGAACATCAAGGAGATCTCCTGCTTGGGCRTCTGCTCAAAAGCGCCTGGTCCAGGGCAGTGGAGCCACGAGGCCAGAGCGGAACTCGAGCCCATCCTCCGAGTCCTGCCCTTGGGTCACGCTGCCACCGTTTCCTCTCCAAGSACCATGTCATCATTCGAAAGAAAACCGCCCGCTCCCGCTCTCCAGCCACATGTTTCCAGCTCTGCAGCCACCAACATTCACAACCGTTAACCCCTGAGGAGCTGCTCTGTGACACCAGCAGCTGCTCACGTGGGGCCACCAAGTGAGAGAAGCTGCAGCGCTGGGGCCTTGTCCTTTCCTTAGCCTTGTCCTAAGGGCTAAGTACAGAGCAGATGCAGAGCTCACCTCTGTGCCCAAGTTCTCCCTCCCAGGGGCAGTGATCTGCYGTGGAAAACACAGTGGAAACCAACAGCAAAATGCAGTCTCGATAGAAATAATCAACACAATTTCTTTTTTTATCAGGCCCTTTCATTGTATAAATAATTTATTTCAGTTCACAGCATTATGTCTGCATCTTTTTTTAGAAAAAAAAAAAAAAGAAAAAAGGGAAGACGGGAGGAACAGAGAGTGACGGACACGGGAAGGAGCAAGACAAGGGCAGCAGGGTTTCCAACACTGACCGAGGTACCATGGGAAACGCGACCGGCACCTTGTGACATCTGCTAAAAAAAAAAAGGTCATTTGGACATATTCAGAGAAGACACGACCTGGCCCGGAGAGGAGCCCGGGCCGCCCTCGGATCGGATCGGCCACCTCGGCTTTGCTGAGGCGCCTTGGCTCGCAGCCRAGCGCGGGTCGGGAACGCTGCAGCAAACGCGGCGGAGGGCGTCGCTGCCGAGCGGGAAAGGGGCTTCCAGCCCTGGCGACGGCCCCGCACCTGCACAGACCGCTGCTCTGCAGAGCCAACACGTAGGTCTTGACAGCAGGGAGGGAAAATATAAACTGTAGCCGCTACCTGCTCTTTTTGAAACCCGACTGCTGCTGATTTGGTGGGGAAGCTAGATGTAGAGTCTGCCTCTGAAATTCTGTCCCTATCCAGAGGAAAAAAAAAAAAAAAAGCTTAAAATGTTTGGCTTCTGTGGTGTCAAAAATAAATATCTTCTCTCTCTCTCTCTCTCCCCCTCTCTCTCTCCCAGTAGCAAGTACCAAGTGTTTCATGTGAGGGAAATGCAAAGAAAAAGACCCGAAGGAGCATGAAGAGCTGCCCGAGCCCATGGGACCAGCCCACTGGGCGAGGGTGCCACGGGGCCCCGCGCACAAGCTGCCCGCGGCCGCAGGAGCGGCGCCGCTCCGCTCGCGTGCAGGATGCGGGATGCGGGAGCTGCCCCGTGCTGCTCACGGAGCCGCTTTGGGAAGGGCCCCGGCCACGCCGCAGCGCTGCCCCCACAACCCGCGTGCGCCCGGCCCTGCCCTCAGCCCTCGCACCGGCCCAGGCAGCGGCAAGGCGGCTGCTCGGTGCCTTGCTGCATGAAGCCTCTTTTGTTTCTTTGTGGTTTTTTTTTTTCTTTTTTTCTTTTTTTTAATAACACACGGTTTGGCTCACCTTGCTGGGAGCACGTTAGCACCTCACACACGCCTCTGCCTGGGCCCGAGAACAACCTGCTCGCGGTTTTGCTTCAAAAGACCTCAGAAATACACCCGGGAGAACAAAAAGCCCCCTGGAAAGCCACTCTGGGGGAGCTCCCCCAGAACCCTCTCCTCCTTTCTCCATTCTTAAGCTCACAGCCCAGCTCGCCCCGGGTGGCTGCAGCATTCCGGCCCCGCAACCCACGGCGGGACGGTCCTTGCTCAGTCCTCTAGTGTCACCTGCCCTTTGCCCGTCACGGGTCAGGGCTCCCGCTCCCTTGGGCGGTCGTCCCCATCCCACCCCATGCCGTCCCACCCTCCCGCGAGGGTGAAGGGAGGCGAGCGGCGCTGGCGGCGGCGGGGCCGCGGCCGGCGCGTGGCGTCACCGCACGCTGACCTTGTGCGGCCGCCTGGGCGAGCTGGGTCCCGGCTTCCCCGCCGCGGGCACCGCTCCCTCAGCCCCGCGGCGCCACGGCCCTGCCCGCTCGTGCACGCCCTGAGGATCCAGAAGCACGTCCAGCCTCGCTCAAATGCACTTTGAACAGGATCCTGCCCTGCTCGTCCCATGYGGCACGGAAAAGCAGCCGCTGCCTGCCAAGGATGGAGCGGCACCAGCGGGAGCTTCCGCCGGTCCAGGTCCCGATCCACATCCCCGCCACCTGCGATGTCTAGTCCCGCTAGAACATCTCCGTCCGCGGCTGCCAGCCCGGGGGGCTCCAGAGTTGGCCCCCGGGCACGTAGTGCTGGTCCGGGCTCCCCTCCTGCAGCCGGGCACGGACGGACAGTGYGGCAAGGAAGAGCGGGAGAGGGAGATCCCGGCTCTCGCCTGCAGTCAGGATCTGGGTTTGGCTAGCAGGAGATGTATTGTTATCACCGCTATTGTCGTCTTTTCATTTGGAAAAGGAAAAAAAGGGGAGGGGGGGAAAGAGGATCGCTTTGGTTCTCTCTCCCCCTCGGTTCCTTTGTCTGTTTTCCCATCTGTTCGTGCACCCGCGAGCTTTACCGCTTCTTCTTCTGCTTGAGGGACTTCCTGCGCTTCAGGATCATCTCGTAGAGCTTGTCCATGCCCTCTGTAAGCCCCTCGCCGATGATGGCGCAGGCAGGCTGGACGTGGTACGTGGTGGAGGGGGTCAGCTCGTGCAAGGCCAGCTGCTTCTCGATCTCGGCCACAGGCAGGGACTTGGGCAGGTCCTGCTTGTTGGCGATGACCAGCAACGGGGTGCCCTGGTTCTCCGCAAACTTGGTCACCTTGTGCAGCTCCGTCTTGGCCTCCTCCAGCCGGTCCACATCCACTGAGTCCACCACATAGATGATGCCATCGGTGCAGCGGCTGTAGGACTTCCAGAGCGGGCGCAGCTTCTCCTGCCCGCCCACGTCCCAGAAGTGGCAGCTGATGCCCTTGGCTGTGCCGTTGCTCAGCCGAATTTTCTCCGTGTTGAAGCCGATGGTGGGCACCGTGTTGACGAACTCGTTGAACTTGAGCCGGTAGAGCACCGTGGTCTTCCCCGCCGAGTCCAGGCCCAGCATGACGATGTGCAGGGACTGGAAGGCGG